ATTTGTATTGAGTTCAACACAACAAACATAAGTAACACATAATTAAGTTATAACTTATCAAAATCACTAATAAATATTTCAAATTAATGGCCTAGATAAGTGTACAACATACACTTATCACTATCACTATGACAATTTATTTACTTAAATGTACAGCAAACATTCCGTAACATGTATGCAAATAGATGAATATTCAGCAATTTTGTATTTGAACAAATTAAATGCGTCAGTTTTTGTATGCATTTTTTTTTTATGTTCAGCAGTCCCATCTATTTTACAGCTTGGGACAATTTGCTTTTATTAAACAATTTCAGCCAATTGTACCATATATATTCTATATACAAGGAAAGCAGCACCATCAATAGGTAGCAGATATAAACTTAAAATCCTTTATCCATAAGAACAAATATGTAACTGTTTATGTGCTTTTAAACTTGAATAACCAAGCATGAAGGTGGCTCCGATATCACATGTAAAAAATTTAATACATACCTCCAGCCATGTTATCCAAGATTAATTGAGAATCTGCCGTAGAAGTTCAGCCTCAAACTGCCTACAAGCCTTCTAGCCAATACCCACTTTACAATCCCTTTACTTGATGGAAATAATACAGATGACTTTCAATTTTAGAGAGAAAATACTACATGGAATTTTGTACAGACTTTGGCTAGGGACCCTTGGCACTTAATATGGGAAACCACTTCATAACTTCAATCCATAATAGAAGTTTTTGATTTTCTCTACAGTAACTTCCTTTCAATAAATAAGAAGTTATTATGACAAATAGTTACTCACCATTTAATTAACTTATCTTTTAATTAATACGTGACCATATCTTTGAAATTGAATATGTGACCATAAACGGTTACACTATGTGGAAATCATCCAAGTCAATAGTGCCCCAACAATCATGATGCTGGATATAGAGCCTCCAAGGTGGAGATGACGGGAAAAAAATAATTAGTAGAAGATAGTGCATTGATTATTGGTACATGTTTGGGTATGGAAAAGATAAAAGAGTTCAGGGGATGTCTGCATAGTGATCCTGAAGGAAAAACCAACATGGAATGCGGAGTATCGCAGAAAGTACTATCAGTAGAGATTTTGTAGGAAGTGGTTTGCCCCTAGTCTTGTAAATATTGTTATTAGGACTTTCTATCGCTTTCCTCAATGTAAAGTTAGTACTTGGTCCTCATAAAGGACCTTAGCGCCTCTAAATTCTTATAGTCGTGTTTGTTTTCTCCAATGTAATGCAAACTATTGGTCTCTATGAAGGACCATAGTGCTTTTCAATTCCTAGTGGTGTTTAATGAAAGGCCTAGATAGGGTCTGTGATGAAGGCATTAAGGAAGGGCCAAGCTAGCCGAGCGTTCCGATCCGCCTACTATGTCTTTCAAATCTAGGCAAACTTCGTGCAATTGCGCTACTCCGATTTGCACTTGTGACATTCCATATTAATTACCAACTCCGGAAATTTTGGTTAAGGCTCAAAATCACCTTACTACCTAGGCGGTAAAGCATAAAAACCACCAAGTGATATAAAAATTCAAATCTATTCCAGATACTAGGTGATAAATAAGAAAACCAAAAAATAGATATAACTCAAAACCACCTTAAAGTCGAAATCAGGGCCGGACCCGAGGAGAGGCCCAAGAGGCCTATGCCTCAGGCCTAGCTTTCCAAGGGGCCCAATTTTTTTTTTTTTTTTTGGTTTTTGTTTGTTTTTTTTTTTTTTNNNTTTTTTTTCCTTTTTCTTTCTTTTTTTATTAATAAAACCCACTATGCCTAAGCCTTCAAAAGTTCAAAAGACGGAAGAACGACGATGGAGGTCGGAGCTGATGTGGTGGCCGTCATCAACAATCAACCTCTCAATTTCTCCGCTCAATTTTCAATTTCCATACTACTTTGGGTATGTCTAAAATCTAAATTTCTTTTTCTTCTTTCTTTCACTTTCCTACACATATACTAGTATTTCAGTTTTTTTTTTCTTCTCTCTTGACTTTATTCTGGGATCTTGGGGTGTCATTGTAGCTATTGGCTGATTTCTTCTTGCGGTTTCCAAAAGTTGATGCTATGTTATGCTCCGTTCTTAAAAGAATTGAATCATCAACTTTTGGGCAAACAACTGATAGAAAAAAGAATGGATTATTCTGATGGCAATTAGCAAAGCTCGACACTATAAGAAGAGAAAGTGACGGGTTTCGATTTCATTTCAAAGTTGAATTGGGCTCAATTTTATACAAGCAATTCAACGGCATAAAAAGTTATGAATGGTTGAATTTCAAGAAGGTTTTAATTTTGTTTTTGGTTGAATATAAATGGGAGAAGGGTGTTTCTTTTAAGTTTAGTTGGATAGAGCCTTTGGTTTAGAGTCCACGTGGTGTGCTCTTTTTATGATTGAATCTATTAAGACAAAGTGATGGCCAGGTTGGGTCCCAAGTCATAAAAATAAAAATTGAGAGTTAAAAAAGTAAAGATGTTATCATTGCCATTTTGCCTTTGTTGTGTGACCTTTGTTGGGATATTATTTATGGACTGTTTTGGGATTCCCGCAACATTTTTTGCCTTTGTTTTTTCAGATTTCAGTAACTATTAGTTGTTGAGTGACTTAAGTCAAATATCATGGCTCTTAAATATGCATCTAGAGCTCAAAAAAGAAGAAGAGAGAAAGTGTAGAGGCATTAATTCGAAACCAGACTAGAGATATGGATAAGCACATCAATAACAAGAAAAGAAAAGAGATGGAAGGAAGGAAGACCAGAAAATTTAGTGATTGAGGAACAATAGAATCAGAATGATAATGATAATATGGATGAACGGAAAGAGAACGATGAAATGATTAAACCTGCCAATGTGAATGAATCAAAGCAGAATAATGAAGATAATATTCAACATGAAGATTTAAGTTAAGAGAATTGCTTTTCTTTGAATTTTAAGGATCATAAGAATTGGAAGGACATTTACATTGATCAAAAGATAAGAGACTTTTTAGTTGAAATAGGTCTTAAAAGAATTGATGACGTCTTGTTTCCCAAAGATAGTTAAGGTAGACATTTTGAATCATCACAATATAAGTGGCTACTTGCAAATGGGCAAACAACTGATAGAAGATGGTTAGTGCATTCAATTTCTTTAGAGATCTTTTGTTTTTGCTGCAAATTGTTTAAGATAGAAAAACGATGAAAATATTGATCAATTGGGTAATGACGGATACAAAGATTGGCATAATGTGCATCGACACCTTAGAAATCATGAAGTGGCTAAGGAACATATGGGCTGCATAACTAATTGGACGGAACTAGAAAATAGGCTTCATACAAAACATACAATTGATGAAAGCAAACAATTGGCCATCAATAAAGAAACAGAGCATTGGAAACAAGTGTTAACGAGGATAATTACTATTGTGAAAATGCTCACTAAAATTACTTTGGCATTTCGAGGAGATTGTGAGCAACTTTATGTTGACAACAATGGACTTTTTTAGTAAATGATAGAAATGGTTGATGAATTTAATCCAATAATGAAAGAACACATTTGATGTGCCCAAATTTTGAAATTCGCCTCAAGCCCTACGAAACACAAATACGGTAAGCATAAAAATCACTAAGTGGTTG